TAGGGAAAGGGGAAGAGAAGAGGGAGTCCCACAGGGAAGAGGCTCTCGCCCAGTAATCTGTCGCCTCCACACAGTGCACCAAACAGTGGACTATGTCCTCTACCGCTCCTGCCGAGCAGACTGTACATATCTCCGAGCTATCCGGATTAGTAGCTTTACGCCTAGTGTGCAGCCACTGGTTCACTGGTAAGGCAGCATACGCTATCAACCACTGCAGACTTCTGATCTTAACTGGTCTGATCTGTGCATATTTTTTCCATGGGATCTGTTGGATTTTGTCTGTCCCACCAGCTTTCGCCATCTGTTTAAGATAATGGGATCTGGGTCTTTGGTCTTCAGTAGTAGTCCGTACCCAAATTTAACGGTATAGTCTTGAACCGGAGTTTTCGTCTTGACACTCCGATTGCTGCCTGAGGTCCATGCCCACTCTTCCGGGTCAAATTCTAAGGCTCGGATAGCCGTATCTGGTCTAAAAATGGACTTCGGCCATGTGCCTATGACCCTGACCTTCCTGAGGAGAAAAAAATCTAGTGTGGAGCATTCGACTTCCCGATTATGGAGGGCTGGCATATCTGAGCCCGTGGTGGATATCGGGAAGGAATGGAAGACGGCGTTGGTAGGTGAATCACGCTGCATGTGGGAAAATTGGTAGGCTCTAGTAGGAGGGGTGTCTTGGATCAAGAGGCCCCAGTCCCCGGCTCTCCACGGCTCGTCCTTGGCAAGGATGTCCTTCCATTCTTGCGGGATACGGCTAATTAGGTACTGTAAGTTGGTTTCTCTCATGTGGCATCCTTTCARTTGTGCATTAACCTCTTGCTCCGTAGCCCAGTCTTTTCTATCCTCTTCCCACAAGTGGTCTATCTTCCAGATCCCATTCTTGACCCATGACAGCCATTTTTGTTCCRTATATATCGGATTGTTGGCCTCGTTCGTTATCCATTCATTACCAAAAAGCGGTTGTCTGAGAATTTCGTCTTTCGACTTTGGTCTGTTGATCCTGGTGGGACAAATTCTCCTCCAGAGTCGAAGCAGCACCGGCCAGTACAGGGAGGGAGGTTGGACATCTTCTGGTCTGTTATTCGTAGTCCGATTCCTGCGTCCCGTTGTTATCCTCCATTCCTTATTCATGACCCAGAACAGTCCTGACATGTCGGGTGGGGAGCGGGTAGGGGCCACCGCCCTAATGCTGTCTAATGCCAACTTGTTCCAAGCGGTGTCTGGATTTGTCAGCAGTTTAATGATCCATTTTATTTGCAAGGCTTTGGTCTCTGTCCCCGGGTCAATGAGGCCCAGGTGTTGCAATTTGGTTTTATGTCTAAACTCTCGCTCATTTTCCTTGCACCTGTCTCTAACAGTTTATTAAAAAAAAACAGGGTCGTGATGTTGAAGGGCCTGGTAGTCTATCTCTAACCGGTACTCCACCCATACCTAGATGCAGGCTTGTGATCATGGGATGATCAAAATTGCTGCCGTGGATTCGCAACCGGATGGGGTTGTTGCCAAGAGTCATTGCCGGGCAATTGGAAACGATCCGCACCACTCCAGTGTGATGGTGGCAATTGGGTAGCAAGATACTTGTGTGGTGGACTGAAATCAATCAGTTGAACTACTGATATCTCAAGATGTGGCAGGTGCTCCGTGAGTTTCGAACTGTTTGCCGAAGGTGTGGTGGGTGCTGTACTGCTCCTGTTCTTTTTTTCCCCCACAAAAACAGAACCTTGCATTTGGCTTCTTTTCATTCTGGGGAGCATCAGTGCGGTTCCTATTCCACCGGCAAGTCAGAAGAGGTTACAATAGATACTCCCGCACGCTCCTCCGCGTTGCGGTTGACAGGCCCGAGTGGATGGCATTGATTACTACCCAAAGGAGGGATGTACCACCCCTCACCCCTGCCTAAGGTGTGGTGGGTCCTGTACTGCTCCTATTCTTTTTTCCCCCCACAAAAACAGAACCTTGCATTTGGCTTCTTTTCATTCTGGGAAGCATCAGTGCAGTTCCTATTCCACCGGCAAGTCAGAAGAGGTTACAATAGATACTCTCGCACGCTCCTCCCTGTCGCAGTTGACAGGCCTGAGTGGATGGCATTGATTACTACCCAAAGGAAGGATGTACCACCCCTCACCCCTACCTAAGTTAGCCTACAATGACTTATTTTTGACGTTGGCTGCTAATCTGACAACCTCTGACAAATATGAGCTTTTGGCATTCCTGCTTTTCGGAAACTCAATCTGTTTCGGTTGCTGTGTGCTTACATGTGTACGGATCGAATAATTGTGGTGGCAATTATAAATCATGATGATCGATGATGATGGTAAGGGAGCCGAATGAATATGGATAGCAGTGATCCATTTAATAATGCAGTGATGGAGACGGTTTACGAACCTGCGCTTGGCTGTTCAGTATCCAAGATCAAGTCACCCAAGGTGTGTGTGCCGTCACCATTACTGGTTGGAGCCGCTTTCTTTTTTTCTTCTTATTAATTATTGTGCCTTGAAGTTCCATGGAGGTTTTCTGTGTAAGCAAGCAATCTGCATGAATGTCGAAGACATGTTTTCTTCCATATAGATATCAGATAAACTTGAGATATCATCTGTGAACTGACCGGGCCAGGTAATTCAGAAGGATTTTATTCTGGTCATCTGATTGTATCTGGATTTGAACTTGGGTCTGTATTTCAACAGTTCGTGGGTGTAGCAACTGAGCTAGGCCCATTGGTTGGATATCAGATAACATCACAGTTTACCTCCTCTCTTTTTCATGCGTGGGTGTGTGTGAGCAGGTAACCTACATAAACGTTGAAGAGTCTGCGATGAAGATGTGCTCTCGTCCTCATAGATATCACGAGCTAGTAGTTACCTCCTCTTTTTGTTCTCCTCCAACATCCTCATGCCTTTCTTCTTTTCCCTTTCTTTTCTTTTTTGGCCCTCTTTACTTTCTTTGGTTGAAGCTGCAAAAGGTCATCTAGTGTGAGATTTACTGTTTCACAGCTCCGAACTTCTGTCCATATTTTTTCCAAACTTCATGCCATGGATTCCCCTTCAACCCTGAAAGTGACCATTTGGAGTCATTGCATCAAAATCCAGACTACCACTCAGTGTTGAGGAACTCCAATATCAGTGAATAACAGTCGACAGTACCATTGTTTCTTTTTGACAAGTACTTTCGAGTAGCTAGACGGGCCAAAAACAACAGAGGTCCTTAATACTCATGGACATCTGTTGAAATTGGAGCGATACAGAGAAGATTAGGATGGCCCCTGCGCAAGGATGACACACATAAATCGAGGAGCAGTCCAAATTTTTTTGTTAAAAAAAAAACAAAAAAAGCAGGGGTGGAGGGGGGGTAAATCCTTCCTCCTCAGGAAGCAATCAATGCTGCAGTCTCACGGTTCCTCTTGGTGTTCTGTTGTCTATCCTGGTAGTGTTTGATATGTCAATCTTAGGTTCTTTCATCTGCAATTGAGCTCTGCCTCAACCATGTTCATTGTTGCTGACAACACCCGTTCCCTTGGATTTCTGGTATTCTCAAAGCTGATGGGGCATCGTTCCTTCCGGATAGCACAATACCATTTCCCTTGTTAACCCAATGCCATTTCAGAGTAGTACTTGTAGAGGGTGTTCAGGAAAGGGAGAAGAGAACACCTTGGCCCATAGGTCACTGTCTCTGGCCCAATACGCGGTGGCCACCCAGCAGTTCCTCAGCAATCTATGATGTCTTCCTGGGCCGGAACTGGGAATGCTACACATTTGTCTTGAGCTATCTGGATCGGATTTACTTCTCCGTATGTGGACCCCTTCATTAGCTGGCAGAGCGACATATGTGATCGGCCATCGCACACTTCTGATTTTTACCGGTCTCTGTGTTTTATATTGTTTCCATGGAACCTGCACTGGCTTTGTCGTCCTCTGTTCCGGGCACTTGTCTTCACCTCCGCTGGATATTTTGGCGGGGGCAGTGTTGCATACCCCGACGGTCACCGGCCCTGACTGGTCGGCTGGTTGGCACCTACCGGTTGGGGGTCGTTGGCATCCCGCAAAAAAAAAAAGAAAAAGAAAAAAAAAAGAAAAGGGTTCAAACCCCCTAATAACCCCACCACCATGCCCATACCCGCCCCCAGTAACCCCATACAACCCCCCCAACCTGTCTCTTATACACATCTAGATGTGTATAAGAGACAGGGCCTGTAACCTAGCTAAATTGGGGTGTGAGACCGG